CCCCCGATAGGCTCCACCGCGACCCCAGCTACTAGCTCCGCGCGTTACTCCTCTGTCGCCCGACGCGGAGGGAGGCGGCGCCGGGAAAGCCCTGGGACCCCCGGCGAGCGGGCCGGGAGCTGCCCCTGCACAGCCGCCCGCGCCGCCTGCCCCGGAGCCACCCCCGGGAGACGCGCGCCGCTCCCCCGTCCCACAGCTCTAGACCCGTCCTCCGGCGCGTCCCGCCTCGTTCGTCCTGTAAACACTCGTCACTGCTGACCTGTGCCAGGCTGTGCTGCCCCTGGGGGTGCAAAGAAGCGAAAACAGACGTCTCCGCTCCGCTCACGGAGTGAAAGTGCCGCGAAAGTGGTGGGTAAAGAAGCGCAAGGATGTACACAGGACTGCGAAATGGCCAAAGGGACGCGGGGAGCTCTGTAACAGAGAATGACAGCACGATCCACATCACATGCGGGTGCCAGAGGAGGACTGAGGAATGGCGTCTAAGACGGGACACGAAAGCTCAAGTTGGTGGAGCTGGAGAGGAGCGTGCAGCGCGTGTGTATGTTCCGGGGAAAGGGAGGAACAGTTCAGGTACAGACAGTACGATGTGCGACAGTTTGAAGGGATCGATGAATTTCTTCAAGGAACCAGAAGAGGGTCCACTGAAGCGCAGAGGGTGGGAGGAAGCAGGGTGAAATATTAGACTGGAGAAGTCACAAGAAGCTGGTGATTAAAAGCCTGGGGGTGGTGTTAGGATTTTGGATTTATACTAAAGGCAATGGGAAACTATCAAAGGATTTTAAAGAGATTCACACCATGATCCCTGTACAGGTCCCCACACCCTTTTCTGCATTTCTGAATCAAAATCCGAAAACCAGATTTTAAAAAATTTGGTGCAAAAACTCATTTGGCAAATCTGACCTGAGAAGGTAAGGAGTGAAATGAGAGCTCTCATGTGACATGTGCTTCTGTGGTTTCAATATATATAAACATACATACATACATACATGCATAAGTAGACACACATTTGTAATATACTTTCATATGTGTATATATTTCTTACTTTTGTCTTTATGTATAATTGAACTGTGAAAATGTCTAAAAGAGTTAAAGAATAATCCTGTGATTAAAAGTGAGATCAATAAATGGCAGCATCTGAGATCAGCAGTACAGAATGTAGAATTACTGCAGAAGTTTGAGGGACTTTACTAAAGAATATTTGTGGCAGTTACCACTATTCATGATTCATAAATGCAAGTTGTTGAAAGTTAATAGAAATAGTGATGACCAAGAGCTCATGAAAGTTTTGAAAAACATTACATAAGGCACAAAATAAAAATGAAGATGAACTTGCATTGATTGATTGGATTCAGCAAGAAAGTGGTGAATTTAAGCAAAAATAAACTATGAAGAACTGAATTGAGAGGCCTGTGCGTATACAAAGTATGAGTTTAGGGTATTTAAAGCAGCACAGCATAAGGTGTTTTCAACCTGGGCACAATTGACATTTGAACCTGATAACTCTTTAGGAGGGGAGCTGGTGGTTCTGCACATTGTAGATTTATCTGCCAGCATCTCTGGCCTCTACTCATTAGATGTCACAGGAAACTCACAGTTTAACAACCAAAGATGGCTCCGGGTATTGCCAAATGTTCCCCAGGGGATGGGGGCAGGGAGGGAGGGTGGTGAATCATCTCTCCGTGAAAACTGCTAGTGTATGATCTGAAAAATGTGTGGTGAAAATGCTACTATTAATTATGGAGCAGTTGAGAATTACATTGAAAATCTGCCAATATTATATCATTTGAAAATCTTGGTTCTACATGAAACTTATGTGTTTTAGGAATCCAGTCCCAGTGGAGGGCTATTTTTCCAACAAAATTAATTTGTTCAGGATCAAAGTTTACTGATTTCTTTGCCTTGGCAACCAGTCACCAAGTCATATAATTTATCCTTTATGATGTCTCCTTAATTTCTCTGCCACTGATCCACTTATAAGCTACAGCCACAGCCATTTTATTTATGTTCAATGCTCCCAACAAATTCATTTTCTAATTTTCAGCCCCCTACTACCAATAATACCAGTAGGCATAAAATGACCAGCCTTGTCCAGATGTAGAATTCCCATTTCTGTAGTTAAGTTCCTTCAGAAGGGGAGAAACTACAAAGATGGCGTTCTCATATAGAGTTTACAAAAAATGAGCAGTTCCCTGGACTTGGAGTAGAGACCTTCACAAAGCTCCCACTGCTGGTTAGAAATGGTGGCCGAGAGGAGCGCACTCTGGATCAGACAAGGTCTTTCTCACCATTCGCAAATTCTCCAAGAACCTCCTACACAGAGGAGAAAATATTTTGAGAAAATGTGTGCAGTTGCTGTTCACTGTAGCTTGCATAGTTAGCACTGTAGTCCATGTTCATGTGCCCAGTTTAGGGATCCGAGATTTAGCAAATAAAAATGTAAGATGCCCAGTTAAATTTTGATTTCATATAAATCATTATTTTCTGAAATTCACATTTATGCTGACAGAGACCAGGTTTGTTTTCTCCATCACTCCATTCTCATCACCTAGGCTAATAACCGGAGTATTTTAAGTCATTAATAAATATTGACTTTATGAATTAATGACTTTTTGCATCAACAGTCATCACTGTAGACAAGGACCCTCTAGTGTTTTCTTGCTAATGACTGAACATCCCTGGTTCTCAAGTCCTCCTGCTTCTCTTCATGTTCTTTATTCTTTTACTTTAGGTCCAGCTGGCTCCTTGATCCCAGATCACAGCCCTTCCCTGAGGCCGGCTACTCACGAGAGTCAACTGTCATCCAGGCCTCACTTCCTCAGCTCCCACTCTCTCCTCAAACAGTCAATCCAGCTTCCACTCTGGACACTCCACTGACTGGAAATGTCAAGTCCACGGAACTCAGCACTGGCTTCTTTGTCTTGTTCTCACTTCATCCACCTGTTGGTGGCACTCACCACAACGGGCTACTCCCTCTGCCTTGAAAAAGTCTATTTTCCTTAACTTCCATGCATCATATTCCTTTGGTTTTTCTCCAACATCAGTGGGACTCCTTCTCAGTCCCCTTTGATGGTTCTTGGCCCTCTGGGCTTGGCCCTTGGCTCTCTTCTTGTTTTCTACCCATAAACTCTCTCCCTATGAAACCTTTTCTACTTTCCTGGAATTTAACACAGTACATGTGCTGATGATGGCAACATATATAATTCCAGCCCTGGCCTCACCCGGAACTTCAGTCTCTCATATTCAAAAGACCTCTTGACAGCTGTACATAAAAGTCAAAAAATCACTTCAAACTGAACTTCAACAAAACCTTTATTTCTAATCACTTCAAATCATTTCCTACCACAGTCTTTCCTATCTTGATAAGCAACACCATCCACCTATTCGTTAAGACAAAGTCCTTAAGAATAAGCTTGATTCTCTATCCCCTTCTATGTTTAATGTATTGACAAGTCATAAAAAAGATCTATCCCAATTCTGTTCACTTTATCTTTGTCCCTGTCTTTATCACTACTGCACTAAAGGAAGCCACAGTCTTGTCTTCCCTGGAGAATTCTGCTGTGCACACATGTTCTCCCTGACTCTGCTTGTGAACCCCAACAATCCAATGTCTTCTAACAGCAAGAATGTTTTTAATTCAATGTAAATTGACTGTCCTTGTAAGCCTCAGGAAGATTCCCAAATCTGCTTAAATAACATTCAGATTTCTTACCATGGCCATCAGGTCCTAACAGGATTAGGCTCCTGACTTCCTCTCCAGCCTGCCTGGTCAACGTCGCTCCACCCCCTTGCTCGCTATACTTCAGCCACTCTAGGCTTCTTTCTGTCCCTTAAACACGGCACACATCTTCCCACATTTCGGCCTTTCCCTGTTCCCTCTCCCTGGAACACTTGTCCCTTAGATCTTCACATGGCTGTCTTCTGGTCATCGTTCATGTCTCAGATAAATGTCACTTTCTCAGGGAGAGCTCCTCAGACACTTGAACTGAAGAGTTGGGTGAATCCAATTCACTATGTCCTATTACTTTGACATCTATTTTTCAGAGCACTTACTGCACTCTGAAATTTTCTTTGTTAAATTTTTATTGGGCGATTGTCTATCTCTTCTGTTATTAGGTAAGGTTCATGACAGTAGAGACTTTTTCTATCTTCTCTGAATAGAATTCTCTGAGCCCAGAACATATCCCAGCACATAATAGTTGCTCAGAGAAATACCTGTGGTCTAAATGAAAAACTAGGATTCTGGGAATGGATCACTGTGGGGATTCTGGAAAGTAAGGAGGAGCTCAAGCTCCAACACTCTTTTCTTCTGATGACACACTGTATTCCTTCCCCTCTCTGTGAGAAATGCAGGCAAACTTCCTATTTCTCTTCCTGCTAGTTAGAAAAACTATTTGGAGATAAAGAAAAGGTGATTTTAAGAAAGGAGGAAATTTTCATTAAGTATTATCTCTTCCAATGTATCTCTTAAAGTACTGAGGATCCTTCAAACTTTGGGGATTTTTAGTGATGCTGATGACACAGCTGGGGAAAGAATAGGGAGGAACTGGAGGTAGAGGTGACCAGACATGGTTAGTATTAAGGAAAACAAAGGGCACGATGAATGAACCTATGAAACTTGGGACTAGATCCCAGGAGGCCAATGAATTTCCTTGACTTTCTTACTGGCTTTTAGCTCAAAGGGATGTTAAGAACCTTCATACTCTCTCTATACCCCTGCTCAGGGTGGATAGTTTAAACCATATGAAATTGCTAATATTTGACTATTTTTGACCTACAAAAATAGAATTTCATATAATTTATCCTATGTTAGTTGAATCCCTTCTCCTGAGCTCTAATCAGAGGATGCAGGTGATGTAGGGGAAACTGATAGTATAGAAAGGTTCAAAATAGATTCATGATAAACACGAGCCTGTGCCAGGTTTTCAGAAGGTGCTTAAAGTTCTTTAAGGCACCAAAGAATACCCCATAGACGTTCCTTATCTATCGGATCATTCTAAGAACTAAGGTGGTCTTCTTCAGTTCCAGGGTGCTTTCCACAGGAGAAGAAGAGACAGTACTAACCCCAACTTCCATCAAAGAACCTTCAGGAGAGAGATACAGGCTTTATACACATTGTAGTTTGGGGAGAAAAGAAAGAAGATAATGTGGGAGTCTCCTGATACATTCTCACACATTAGGGAGAGGCACCAACGTCACAGATGCTGTTTGAGGACATAACACAAGATCTTCTAGCAGAGACTCTTCAAATTCCATTAGACTCCCTATAAAATTTTCAGAAAAACTTCACTTTTCTGGCAAAGCTCAACGTAATAAAAGGAAGTGCTGGGTGGGGAAATATTCCAACCCTGTGATATCTAAATCCTCTCCAGACCCTGAGGAAATGTGATGCAAGGCTGGAGAGGTTTTATTAGAGGGGAGCTGAGAATGAATAAACTATATGGAGGCCCCTTACACAGGTCTCCTAGAGAGGGCAAGAATCCAGGCTCCTTTTGGAAATAATTGGGATTCATAGGATCAAGATACGTGGTCACTGAAGAAAATATCACAATTTTTTAAGGGACATGGCCTGGACACAGTGACAAAGTTGACATCCTTCCTCCCCCCATCCCATGACAGCTCACCACCCGAGGTGTGCACTTATGTTGGGTGTCCCTGGCCAAAGCCAGAGGAGGGCTCAGCACCATCAGTATCACTGTCAAAGCTGCCATCCAGGAGCCTCCAGGGAACCACAGACACACCACGCTGAAGAACAGGAGAGGACCGGGTGCTAGAGGA